AGCGTGCACGGAGCGGCGTGCAAGGAGCGGCGTGCACGGAGCGGCGCGCTTCCTCTCGTGCTCGCGTTTTCCCGCGGGGAGGACACGGAAACGGCACCGTCCCCGTGCCGGCACCTTGGGGATGAGGTAGCCACGGAAGAGGACGTCACGGGTGACGGTGTGGGGCACGTTCATGGGGATGAGGTCACTGTAACGCTGGATCTCGTGGATGACGGCATCCGTGTACGGCATCCGGCTCCGGTCCTCGATGTTGGGTGCACGATCGCGGCCGATCACCCGCTCGATCTCCTCGTAGACCTTCTCTGCGGCCCCGGCCGGGGCCGGGGCTCCCGTTCAGTGACGCCACGGAGCGCACGGGGGTCCCCGTGGGTGGGCGTGCGTGCACACCTCCCCACACTTACCTTGCACGTCCGGGTGTTTCATCAGCATGAGGAAACCGTATCTCAGGGTGGAGCTGACGGTCTCCGTCCCGGCGAAGAAGAGGTTGAGGGTGGTCAGCTCCAGGTTCTCCGTGTTGAATTCCGAGGAGGGGTTGTCCTTCTCCTGGGGACGGGGGACGTGCGCGGCGTGGGCAAGGGAGCCGGAGAGTGCGGGAGCACGGGGGAGAGCAGCCATGGGCGTGCAAGGGAGCTGGGTGCATGGGAGCACCCCTGGGTGTGCAAGGGAGCTGGGTGTGTGGGAGCACCGCTGGGTGTGCAACGGAGCTGGGTGCGTGGGAACACCCCATGGTGTGCAAGGGAGCTGGGTGCACGGGAGCACCCCATGGTGTGCAAGGGAGCTGGGTGCACGGGAGCATCCCTGGGCGTGCAAGGGAGCTGGGTGCACGTGATTATCCCAGAGTGCACGGGAGCACCCCTGGGTGTGCACAACCAAGCTGGGTGCATGGGAGCACCCCTGGGTGCACAAGTAAGCTGGGTGCACGGGAGCACCCCTGGGTGCCCGGGCTCAGCCCCGGGGTGCCCAGGAGCACCCCAGGGTGCAGGACCCCCCCTCACCTTCTCCATCTGGAGCAGGAAGCAGTCGATAAAGTCCCGCGGGAGCCCCGGCTCCAGCGTCTCGGCGTTTTTCCGCACCCGACGGGCGATGAAGCTCCTCATCCTCGCCAGCAGTCGCGGGATCTTGGTGTGGGGGCCCGGGAGGTGCTTCAGGAAGGTCTCACCCATCTCGTAAAACTACGGGAGAAGGGTCAACGCCGGCGTCGGACCCCCCCCTACCCCACCCTACCCTCCCGGCACCCACCTGCGACCAAGGGGTGCTGAGCTCCCGAAAACTCTCGTTCATCATCTGGAGCAGCTCCAGGAATTCCTCGTCCCGATAATCGAAACGATTCCCGAAAACGATGGAGCAGATGATGTTGGAGACGGCGCAGCTCAGCAGGTACGTGGGGTCGAAGGGGTTTTCTGGGAGG